GGAGTAGGAGTAGGAGTAGTAGCAGCAATAGTAGTAGTAGTAGTAGTAGTAGTAGCAATAGTAGTAGTAGTAGTAGTAGTAGTAGTGGTGGTGCTGGAGTACATCGTAGAAGTAAAGTAGTTCAGCAGCGAAGAGCAACTAAAATGAACACTAGGAACAACAGCGGAATGAACGATGCAGCAATAATTGACACAACAGGAAATATTGAGAAACACTGCTCCTCGTAGTTGTAGTGAGAAGCAATATCCACACCACGAGACGTAGTCTGCAAGTAGTACTACACCCAAAAATGTTAACACCACCAGCAGTCGGACTAACTGATATTTGCATGAGTATCAAAATTCCCAATTTGCTTGTGATAGTATTGAGCACCAGTACCCTCCCTATTCTGGGTAGATGAATCGCTCATCTTAAAGTAATATGGGGCCTGATTTTTCTAGTACTGTTCCCGATATTCTTACGACTATACGACTATACGACAACATACCCCCAAGCCCCATTTTAGGTATTAAGGCCGCTACAACCCTAAACCCTAAGCCCGGGAAGTACGCATTTGAATCCGAGGCCGGGGCCGCAGGCTACCAGGCAGTCTGGGGCGTGGCCCATGCACTGCACACGCCGCTGATGTCGGCACCTTGTCCTCGAGTTACTGGAAAACATGGGGTTCTGTAGGAAATGCAATCTTGTGACTTGTTTTATGGGGTGGTTAAGGTCTTTTGTTCGGAAGCTTGGGGTCTTTAGGACGACGGTGGGTAGACCAAGGATGTCAGCTCCTTCTTGTGTGGTCTTACATCAAGACCCAAAGCCTCAAGCGCATGCCCCGAACCTTGGAACCCTAACAAGACAAAGCTTGAGCCCTGCAATCTCAGCACCCAACCCCGGCAAGTCCTGGCACCTTCATGCTCGGCATCAGAGTCAGGAGTCTTCACCCTTGAGATCATTAATTTCGTTGTCTCTTGCGCCATTATCAGTGGTTTTCTTGTCAGCCTTGTGGGGATTCATGGACCGGAATTAGTCTCTCCAGGGTGTTTTTCAAGACTCGCGGGCAAGGAATTAGGGCTGACTCTTTCGATCGGTGGCTTCAGAAGAGCGTTCTAGACCACCCGAAACCCTCGTTGAAACCCTGCGGCTGAAACCCTATAGGCATTATTCCCGAAAGCTCTGAACCTACACCCCCGCGGCTGAACCCTAAACCCAAGACCTTAGCCCGGAGAGTTTTTCAGGTGACGAACGCCATTTCTGGCATGACAGCCATCGGCGGTCTCCTTCTGCTTGACCGAGCGTCGCTTTGCTGTGCGCTGGTGGTCTTGTGCACGTGAGCCCGAAAGCTGAAAACTTAAAGCCCCAAGGCTTCACATATATGGATGGTTATTGAAACTAGGGTCCCCTCTTTGGGTCCCCAATATAGTACGGCACCCTTATAACAAGGGCCCTAAAAGGGACCCTAAACTAGAGAACTACCCATATGAAGACCGAAGATCCTTGAAGGTGACTTGGGGTCGGTGAGACTGTGGTGTGGTCTGGACTGTTCCCCTGCGGCCGCTCCCGCTGTTCCCCTGCGGCCGCTGCTGCTGCTACTACTACTACTACTACTACTGGAGGAAGAGGCGGAGGAGGGGGGGAGGAGGCCGAGGAGGATGACCAGGACGACGAGCACGACGACGGCGACGACGACGAGCACTACTGATGCTGAGGGTAAGTGGCTAGATTTCCCGTATCATGTCCAGTCGTCGCCATGCTGCAAAGTACTCGGTGACGCCAGTGACAGTTAATAGTAGGAACCGAAAGGCGATTTTGGGATGTCCCCACTTGCAAACTTGTCGGCCTCCCTATATCATAACTCATGGCAGCAGCTTTCGTGATTTCGTGATTTTGTGGGTCTAGCTATGCGTCAAGGTCCTCGTACTCGGCACAACTGCTGGCACTCATCGCAATCCTCGTCTCCGCGGCGCGGCGCTTGGTGCAAGTTTGCGTGTGGCTTGAGTCCCCTAGCTCGAAGCCACTTCGAGTTCGACTCAAGCTTCTGAAACCCATTCCTTCTGCATTTTGTGCTGGGGATGACCATCGCGACAGCATGCAGATTGCGGCGTTGGTTGAAAGAAGCCCGGATTGGGTGAATCCTGGGGGTGGGAGTTGGATTCAGTCAAGGGCTGTCTGGAATTCCTGCCTTTAACCAGTTTCATCTTGTGCCTAACCCTCCGAGGATGCTCCCCAACTCGGCGACTATTCCTAAACCATGGTCCAATTCTCCAAGACTCGGAACAAGGAACGCCTTCAAGCCCTGGCTGACCATAGAACTGACTTCTATTTCATTGGATATTCAGCCTGATAGCCAAGCTAAAGGACGAGGGTGATAAGTCCCATCCCTGCCCCTCAATTGAAGCCTGTCAACCATGTATAGAACCTTGGTTGAAAGCTTCTTAAGCCCACATAGTATGCCTGAACATGTGTCAGTACTGCTCCTTGAGGTTCCTATCACAGTTACAGTTGTATTCTACCCCAAAGCCCTATTGTAACTGTCAAGGCCTCTATATTCAACCGAAAGGTGAACATCATCGGCGGCTTCGTCGTCTCGCAGCGCATGCTCGACCTCTTTAAGAAGCCCGGGGACAAGGCCCTGCTCAGAGCGCAGTGGTGGGTCGACAGCTCTGACATTTCCAGACTGTCGGGCTCGGTAAGGGGGTTTCAGGCCATGAACTGCCCTAATTAAACTCGACACCACACAACCCCCTACAACCGCGAACCGTCAAGATTGAAGAGCTTAGGGGCCAGGGTTTGAGGGAGCCTTCCAACCCGGAATTCCGCAAACTCGAAGCTTCAGCAGCTTCGCTTTTCCCTTTCCTCTTTTCCGTTCTTGAATGGCTTGGTCTGACTTTGCGCCTGACCAGAACCCTGAAGCCCCGCACCCCGCCAGAATGGCCCTTTCTTTCAGCGATGTGGGCTGGCTGCAGCAATATGCACACACACACACACGCAAACATACGATGTTGAGCAGACATGCGTGTAATACAGGACCGGATCTACGGCACAGTATTCACTGAACCGGTGAACCTCTTCCTGTATTTAGCTGCTTGTTTGTTGCTTAATCATAGACAAAGCAACCCTGTGCAGGAGCATGTGCATACATTTTCTGATGACACCCGCACCAGAAGCTTCCCCTGTTGCCTTCTCTGACCTCTGCCTTGGACTTGCGGGAAAGAGTAGGCCAAGCAACCGCAGCTCTGTAGAGTCAGGTGGAGGTCGTCGGCTTCGGAAATACAGTTGCATCAACAAGTTCTTAGACACCAGACACAGTTTCAACTGGCCCTTGCCAAAATCATACAGGAAGCTATAAGATCACTTAGTGTTCCTCGAGGCTCCTTTGTGGCCCTCCATGCCTTGGGAAAGCTGTCCCAGCCCCGAATCCGACAATTGCTGCAAGGACTACTCTCCCTTCATGCTGCTTCCCGGTTTGGTCTTCCTTTTCGTGAGCTTGACGAGCCCAGAGCTCCTGAAGGCCGTCAGCACGGTGTCTGCTCTGCAGCCAGGCAGCAAGCCACTACCATAGGCCTTTTGGGGCTCAGGGCTCACGGGGTCTCGGATCCTTGGTGTTCCATCGGCCAACCTTAGTAGGTTTGCGCCGCAGCCAGTCCCTTTCGAACAAAAATGGCACCATTACTAGCCGTAGCAGCGGCTGCAGCAGCAGGAGGCAGAAGGGAGCAGGAGCAGTAGGAGGAAGAGGAGCGGTGGTAGTGGTAAATTGTAGCAGTAGCAGAGGAAGCAGGGGTACTACTCATCAGCCTGACAGACGGCAAGAGAGAATTGCAGATAGAACGATCCAATGGGCGGACACAGCTGATGGCAGCTGCGAGTAAAGAGCAGACAGTAAGAAGGAATAGCTGCGGGAAAAGATGGCCCGGACCCTAAAGCCCTGACCCCCGAGCAGTGGCCTAGACTCCAACTCATAGTTTCTACCTGATTGTATTGTACTGTAACATACCCCAGAAGCCAAGCCGTGTAGCAACCCTTACAGAGTCCCTTTCAAAGCATCGCTTCTTATTGAGCCCTATATGCTCCAATTATACACGCTCCCTGTATTCGGGTCTCAGACAGCCGTGATGACCCAGGCTCTGCATTGCCGCCATCGGGGGCCTGGCGAGCATGTCCTCGGCCAACGCGGGCTGCAAGTTCGGGAGCTTTGGTGACAAAAAGGGCCGTAGGGTTCAAGGGTTCAGACGTTTAGTGTTGGGAGTTTCGGATCGACGGCTTCGAGAGTTTGGGGCGGGTTCAGGGTTTAGGCGTGAGTAGCAGGGTCTGGGGTTTTGGAGCTCAGGGCTTCTCATTGAAGACACAATCCCGCAAATGAAGCGATCTACAGAGTTGTTTTTCGCTTTTACAGGTTGTTTAAGACGAACGCGTTGTCAGGTGTCGACAACAGAAGCTGTCAGTTTCAGTTTCAGTGGTGAGATAACGAATGCTTCAGACATGTCGACATGTTCCTTATGTGCAGTTCCCGCTAGCTTTTCACATGATGCCACTCGTTTCCCCCCTCACCTCTCCTGACATTGCAGGGGCAGCGGCCATCGTGTCACTGCAGGCTCAAACGTCGGGAACCCTCGCGTGCTACTGCCCTCTTATATCACCTCCGCAGCCAGCCTCCGAGAGCCTGGAATCGTCCCCCGTTTCCGTGTTCCGCGGGCTCTGCATTTCTGACCGTGCTCGGGTGCACCACTACCAGACCCTTGACTGCTTGACATTGCCCTCCGGCTACGCGGCCTACAGCTGGCGGTTCCTGGTTCGCCTTCTTCCCTGCAGCTCAGCCCTGATGCTCTCGGAGCATGCCTCCTACAGTCACAGCCATGGATTCGGACTGAAGCTTGAGGAGGTGTGGGTGAGCCAGAATGCTGCACAAGCCGGCATGAAAAAGCTGTGAAGGATCAGTCTCAAATGCCACAAAGCGACAAAGCGTTGCCTGCGGCGGCTTTACGTGCCTCCACGCCGAGCGCCGGCGCTCAACTCCGGCAAATCTTATTACTGTTGTGCTTGATGAAGCCAACGCATGCGTGGAAGGCTGGATACCCATCGAGCAAGAACACGGTTCTGTGATGAATGCTAGCGTTAGCACTGGCAGACTTGTGCCAGCGAGACGTGCTGTCAGTAGTTGCCAGATGTTGCGACATAGTGACAGCGCTGCCGGCAATGCGTGGGCAGACCGACCAAGATGCGTAGAGGGCACCATGTCGGTAGGAAGCAACGAACTATTGAAACGATCGAGCAACAGACACATAGATAGTCAGCCAAGCAGACGACCAGCACCATGTGCAGAGCTGCATCTGATGTCCCTGATTCGGTGTTTCGTTCTTTCGCACGTTATCCGGTGATTGGTAATCACCTTGCACGGACCACATCATCTGAACCACCATGTCCTGCACCGCACGCGAGCAGCATAGCTCGAACCGTCGGAACTTCCGTCTCATGCTGTCACCCGCGAGACTGCAAAAGCTGCACACTCGCAACCGCAGGAATGAGATCCAAGTGCACCAACTTCCGACACACCTCATCCCTCGTCGGACAGTTGGCAGCGCTTGGAGCAACCACTTTGAACACAAAATTCTTTCGGTGTGAGCACACCGCTTTGCCTGCCGGATGTGTTTCTGAGCCTAGGGACGGAGCTGAAGTGCTGCCGACACCCTCCACAAAAATGATTGCCACTGTAACAAGACAGGTGAAATTATCAAGAAGGATGCATGCTTTCCTGACGTGCATGTCTTACAGTATGGGTTTCCCCAGCGCTTTGTGACTGGAGCGCTCGCCGCCCGCCTTCGGACAGTTAAACCTGGCCGGCGCTTGTGAACTTCCTTTCACCCGAAACCCCCAAAGCCATGAACCTTAAACATCAAACCCCGCGAAGCCCAAAACCCCGCCCCCGCAAGCCCGTAAAAAAACAAACAAACCTGCAAGGATGGTTGGTGTCTTCGGGGCCATGTCTGCTGCCATGGCTACTGGACGTCTGTAGACTTCCGGGATCTTCCAGGGTTTAGGGGTTTAGGCCAGTTCAGGATGTGAGGTTCCCATTCCGGGGCTTGTGACGTGCGCCTGTGAAAAGATCGGGGACTCAGTTCGGGGCTGCGGGCAAAATCCTGCACTCCTGGTAGAGGTGGTGATTTTTGTGCTGGTGTCTTGGAGATGCTGCTATGTTCTGCTGCCCTGAGTCGAGAAGGATGACCCTGACCCTGCCGCACTACACTTACACTACACTCTGCTTCCGAAACCCTGAAGCCTCAAAATCTTGAGGCCCTGGGAGCTGAAAGCGAGCACCAAAGCGGCTTAAAGATGAAGTGCTGAAATAACTGGAGCATCCCAAACCCTACACCCCTAAGCCTTTAAGCAGCATACCCACCGTTACGCCTTAAACTAAGCCCTAACCGAAGCCACCCGACGCCAATGCGAGGTTAGCCTCAGCTCCGGAAGTTCCTGGCACTCAGAAGCTTAAATACTGTTGATGATCTCTATATATATATACACATACAAAAAATATATATATATATCCTGCACTACCTCAAGGACCCTAAACTATGGGAATTATGGTCTCTTCGTTATGATGGGTAATGCAGGATGTATATCATCAATCGTACTGGGGTCTGAATGATCAGAGTAGGGTTCCCGTTTACAGACTTCCTTCAGAGGGTTCTACAAAGGTTGCTTAAAGGTTTCTGTGGCGCAGGGGGCCTTAATTGATTGATGATGAGAATAGGGTTTTGGGATTTGTTGTTATACGTTTACATCAAGGACCTCAAGGAACAGTATCGGTAAGTCGTCGGGTTCCTGTATTGCGGTTCAGGCCGACTGTTCAGGATTCACGGTTGGGGTGTTTTTTTAAGGAGAAGTCAAAAGGCTTGTAGGGTTTCGGGTTTAGGGCTGAGGGGTTGGTTTATATGATCTAGTCTTGTCAAGTTTCAGGGGAAGGGTTTAGGCGGTTTAGGATTACCTTCATCGTTCAACCCTGAACGATTCCTGCAGCTTCATTCGCCAATCTCACCCCCCCCCCCCCCCCCCCCCCCCCCCCCCCCC